TGGGCAACAAAGTGAAATACTGTCAAAAAAAAAAAAAAAAAAAAGTGTCACTAACAAAATCTGTTGTTGAAAACACATAAATACATATGCCTTTATATTGTGACAAATTCTGGAAATAGTGATCATTTTAATACCTTTATTCTTACTTAAACTTGGAGGAACACTGGCCTTTCTTGAAGCTATAACTTCTGAATTTTTAATGTAGGCAAACCCCTAACTTCCAGCTTTGGAAAATCAGCTCCAAATACAGCTCATTTTATGGAGAGAAAGAAATTGTTCTGTGTGGAATATAGCTTTTTAGCTCAAGCTTAAAAAATGCATGTTGTCTGTTTGAAACTTAACATGTGAATGGGCTTATCTTTGGGTCCTTATCCCAGTTGCAGGAGTCCTTGATGCTTCTCCCCCACAAACCTCGACTCATTGAGAAAATTTCCATTTGTACTGGATATTTCTTCATTTTTTCCCCAGTTGGAATCACAACATACTTTGAAAGAAGATTTAGCAAGATGTCACCAGGGATGGCATTAGAGAGTGGAGAAGTAGTGCATCTGCTCTGTCGTATTCCTGATTACAGACATTGAGGAAATCCTACCTATCCTTGACAGAACCTCATGCTCCAACTGTTGTTAAGCATGGAATCAAGTGGAAAAGACAACTTTTCTCTTTTAGCTCAGTTACTTTATTCCCATCTAGAGGCAGTTTCTCTTTGAATAATTCTGGTCCTGGGAAATAATTCTTGTCCATTCTCCTACAGTCTTCTTTAGGGTCTGAAGTTTGTTTGAAAAAAAAAAAAAAAAAAAAAAAAGTCCTTTAAAAAGTGTTTCCAACTTGTTTAGGGGCTCCTGACATGTAATCCTCAGGCCAAATGTGTTCCACTGGATCTTGGGGTGTGACCCACTTAAGATGTCAATATGTTTTTTTCTTGATGAGTTCGCAAACATAAACTATATGCCTTCAAAAAATTTGAGAACTTTTATCTAACATGGAAAAGCTGAGTTAACTTGCCATAAACATAATGGAAGCATAGGACCGGATGTGGTGGCTCATCCCTGTAATCCAAGCACTTTGGGAGGCCAAGGCAGGTGAATCACCTGAGGTCAGGAGTTTGAGACCAGCTGGCCAACATGGTAAAACCCCATCTCTACTAAGACTACAAAAATTAGCCAGGCATGGTGGCACATGCCTGTAGTTCCAGGGAGCCTGAGGTGGGAGGATTGCTCGAACCTGGGAGGTGGAGGTTGCAGTGAGCTAAGGTGGCACCACTGCATTCCAGTCTGGGTGACATAGTGAAACTGTCTCAAAAATAAAAATAAAAATAAAAATAAAAATAAAAAATAATGGAAGCATAAAGTTAGGTTTCGTTTCATTCATTTATTTGTATCAAAATGAAAGGTTGGTTTGACTAGTTTCATTAGCTCCTACGCAAGAAGAGTTTATACTGCAAAAATCAAGTGTATTGTATAATGTGATAAAATGAAGATCAAAATCATGACTTTTTTCTGCTTATGGTCCTAAGCACTGTGTGTATATTTCATTTTTTTAAGACTAGATTTTGGATATTTATTGAACAGACTTATCAGTCTGATTCCTCAAGTCAACGACTTTTGAGAATGAAGTTCTCACAGACACTTGAATTGTTGGACCCTCAGTAACTCACAGCATTGAGCTAAATTTATATGCTAAAGTTAAAATTACAAAAACACACCTCCAGAAAGGATATTGGTGATATGTTTAAGAAGGTGAGATTATTCAGACTTAAATTAGACATGTGAATTGAATAGAGAGAAATTAGAGACTGTATGCATTTGAGACTCAATGAAACCACATATTTTAAAAAAACTGTAATTCACAGATTGGGAGGGATTACAGGGTTGGTTTTTTTTTTTTTTTTGGTTTTGTTTTGCTTTCTGTTTTTGTTTTTTTTCCTCTAGAAATGTAGTCACAATTCAGAAGGGATTTATAGAGTTTGATAAGTATAAATTATGTTTTACATTCCTGAAGCAATGCCTTTGGAGTATAAACTTTAAGATATATATGATTTCTCAAGCCTGTGCTTCTAATCAGTGTGGCTTAGTTTGAAGAGAAACTATTTATGTTAAAATTGATGTATAACCTGCTAAGATAATTTATATTGGAAAATTTGGAGCAAAATACATAAATATAAATCCTCAAATGATTCTGAAGTCTCTGGCTATGGGACTAAACTTTAGGTCATATTTGAGTTTCAGTGGCTCTATGAAATTATATTCTTTATCATGAAATCATTGACATTGAAGTTGACAGTCACTCACTCTCCTGGCCGCATACTGCTTGGAGCTAGAGTTTGATGTGCTCTGATTGAAAGAATACAATCTACTAAATACCATGGTTTTCATTTATTTTATTCACAAAGATCAGTGAATAACACTAGACTTAAAATTATTGATCTTTGCATAAATAAATACAGTGATTTTAAATTACTTTTCAAAAAGTCATTTAGTTTTGAAATTACTTGAATTTTGAAATTACTTTGATTACTGCTGAGTATCCATAATATTGAACAGTTAAGAGGTGCTACTTTTCCAGCGTTATGGATTAAAAATGATTTAGCTGGCTAGGCATGGTGGCTCACATCTGTAATCCCCGTGCTTTGGGAGGCTGAGGCAGGAGGATCACTTGAGGCCAGGAGTTTGAGGCCAGGAGTTTGAGGCCAGGAGTTTGAAACCAGACTAGGCAACATAGTGAGACCTTGTCTCTAAAAATAATAAAAATAGGTTAGGTGCGGTGGCTTACACCTGTAATCCTAGCACTTTGAGGGGGCGAGGTGAGTGGATCACTTGAGATCAAGAGTTCAAGACCAGCCTGGGCAACATGGTGAAACCCCATCTCTACTAAAAAAAAAAAAAAAAAAAAAAAAAAAAAAAAAAAAAAAAAAAATACAAAGATTGGCTGGGTGTGGTGGTGCATGGCTGTAGTTCTGACTACTATGGAGGCTGACGCAGGAAAACTGCTTGAACCCAGGAGGTGAAGGTTGCAGTGAGCTGAGATTGCACCACTGCACTCCAACTTGGGTGACAGAGCAAGACTCAATCTCAAAAATAAATAAATAAATAAATAAATAAAAGTTTTAAAAATGTGCCCTTGCAAAATACGAAACTATACTTAGATAGGTACACTATTGAAAGAAAAATAGACACTCCAAAACTTGTGCATCTTCAAAAATGAACCCTAGTGATGACGGTTGCATGATGTGAATGGACTTAATGCCAGTGAACTGTAAGCTTACAAGTGGTTAAAATGGGAAATTTTATATTAGGTATATCTTACTACAATAAAAATTCCACTTCAATGTTCACAGCAACAATGTTGGAATGGCCTCCCAAAGTGCTGGCGTTACAAGCGTGAGCCACTGCATGTGACCCAGCTAATAGTTATTGACCGCTATTGTATGCTCAGTATTTCGCTATGCATAATTATATTACCTATTTTATTTTATTTGATCTTTACATTTCTCCATGGAGGTAAGCACAATACCAGGCTTATTGAAATAACTTTAAACAGGTAAATGGCAAAAATAAAATAACTGGACTCATGGGTGAGCCTAACCATTTACCACTTTCCCCAATATCACCCTTTCAATCTCCCATGTTGCTCTTTTTCATTTTTTAACCCATTCCAGGTTGCCTGGTATTTGCTTTTTGCCTCATTTCTAAGGCATAGTGCTTTTATTTTTGTCTGAGAAAAAGTGAACAGATTAACACCCAGTGAGGTTTGCCTCAGAGCCTGGATTCATGAAGGAATGTCGCTGCCAGTTGCCCTTCAGCTGGCAAGCACCTCTCAGCAGCTTGGACTCCAGGTAGCATGGAAAAGAGATGGAAATGGACATTAAAGCACTTCTGGTGCCATGTACTACATGCTAGCTTTTCTTATGTCCCACAGTAGCCCTGTGAAGTGGAGAAATTGTTGTCATTTCTATTTTATAAATGAGAACACTAATACCCTGAAAATTGGAGTGAGTTTCTTCAGGTCATACAGCTAGTGGGTTAAAATTTTATCCTCAGTTGCTCTAGCTCCATAGTCCCTGCTTTTTCCATGGTATCATGCTGCTTCTTTAAAGTTAAGGCTAAATTAGCCTTGTTAGGAGACTCTCCCAAAGTGTTTGATAAGATGACATAGAACTCCACCTGCTTGACTGTAAAGCTTGTTTTTTACGGTCCCCCTTTTTCCATGATATCATACGACTTTCTTAAAGGGCTAAATTAGCCTTGTTAGGAGGCTCTTCCAAATTGTTTGATAAGATGGCATAGAACTACACACCTGCTTCACTGTAAATCTTGCTGAACTGGAAAGCAAAACCTCACCTGTGACCTTGAACTGACCTCCCGTAAAGAGGTGGAACCCAACATTTTGGAGGTCATACAATAGCAGATCCTGCTCCAACTTTTTATTGAATTACAAACCCTAAATATGACTCCATCTTTCAAATGCGTTTCTTAGCCTTCTTTCTGAGGGGCTGCCAGAGATTTAGTTGTGCCAAAAATTACCAGCATCCAGACAGTTACTCTTCTGTAATCACTGCCCACTATGTCCCCAGTATATAGGATAGGATCTCTTTTTATGTGCTCTCACAAAACACTGTTCTTTCAGAATACTTATCTTACTATGTAATCATATATTCATTAAAGTAATCATTTACTCTACATCCACTACCAACTTGTAAGCTCCATGAAAGTAGGATCAGTGTCTGTCTTCTGCATCACAAACATTCAGAACAGTGCTCAGTAAGCATTTGCTAAATGCATGAATGCTTTTCCATCAGAGAATCAGATGGTTATTTATCTGGCCATAAAGAAAATACAAAAAGGTTGTCTGTGACTTGGATAAATGGGCATAACTGTGAGACCTGCCCAACCAATTATTTGTTAGAGGGCTAAATGGTAGAAAAATGTTGATTCTTGCTCTGCTGCTCCAGACTTGGGAGGCTTTAATCTTCCCTGAAAGCAGAGATGAGCTCAGCTTACCTCTTTCTGGTGGTATTTGATTGCCACCTTCAGCTTGGCCAGGTCATGGTACTTCTGAGGGTCAAGCTCTTCACTGTGGTCATCTCGATGGTTGAGGATGATCTCCAGTTCCCGGGAGCTCCGAGCTTGGTCCAGCAGGTCCTTGGCAAAGAGTTTGCACTGCTGAGAGAGCTCCTCATATTCGGCTTTGAACTCATTTTCCACCTTGCTGAGCTCCTTGAGCTCCCAGCCCAGGCGGAAGGCAGTTAGGATGGGATCCTCGCTTGATAAGGCAATGAGTGAGGGGCTTGCCAGAGCCTTATAGATGTTCAGTCGGGAGCGAGAGTGGCGCAGGCTGTCTACCTCTGAACTAGACACACACTCCACACAGTTGCAGCGGATCTGGTGGGGCCGTGGGATAGTGACCCGTTTTTGCACAAGCAATTTGATGATTTCGTAGTTGTTGGTGTGGGCAGCCAGCATGATGGGAGTGATGTCTGGTGTGAACTCAGAGAACTGGGTGTCCATCATGAGAGTGGGGACCTAGGTACAAGAAATGAGAAGCATGGAAGAGCAGGATTAAAGTTTGGAGAGAGAAGCATAGGGCCTGTAAAATGCTGGTGAATCAGGAATTAAGTCTCCATTCTCATCTCAATTCTTTTGACCTCCTAAACCTCCTTCCTTATAGCTAAGGTTTGTGGCGTGCTTATTGTGTGCCAGGTACTATTCTAAGCACATTACCATGTCTTTACTCATTTAGTCTCCACAACAACCTTGTGAGGTAAATATTCTTCCCATATGAAGAAGCGGAGACACTGAGAAGTTACAGAACACACCTAAGGTTATACAGTTTTTAGTCAACAGAGCCAAGATTCAAACCCAGGCAAGACTCTAGAGCCGAGCTCTAGAATCAAGTTGTCAATTATGCAATGACAACATACCCATTTCTGTCTGATAAATACTGGAGAATACAGATAAATAAAGGGCATTTTTTTCCTGACCTTCTGGAGAATTACTTGGGTAGAACAAACTTACATAAAATTGGTAACAGTACATAGTAGTTCAGTTCCAAATGAGCAGTAGAGGCTGCAGGAATATTTATTTGAGAGGTTACCAACAACCAGTAATGTTCAAGACCATGTCATTAAATCAAACTCTGGGGGCTGAAGAGAAGATTCCCTCAAATTGTTACATTAACTTTTTATGTATAAATGGGACTTCAGGGGACCAAAGACCAAGGTCAGACAGGGTTCGTCCAACTTCATGTAGGTCCCAGGAAGGTAAAGATAATTCGTTAGTGTTAGGAAGAAGTAGTCTGTAAATGAAGACTTCTTGGCTTGAGGAGGGTTTACTGATAGCAAAAGGACCATTGATAAAACTGCTATGTCCATGATGTAACGTTTGGTGTAAATAGCAGCTATAGGTGAAAGGTGGGGGCTTCTTTGGGTATTCAGGAGCACTTCTGGGTGAGTGTGCAGAACCTGATCAATGATTTTAAAATCTTTCAACTTTAAAATGTCTCTTTTGGGACACAATCTTTTCTCAGTCCAGTAAGGAAACCAAGGCAGCTTGCTAGACTCACAGAAGAGTTTAAGTGGAGAGAATGGGAGGACTGGAATAGTCAGCAGAGGCTTTATGGAGAAGTGGAACTGACTATTAAAAACATGGATGGGATTCCAGAAAATCAGGAAATATTGATTTTATTACACTTTAGGGAAAAAAAAAAGTTCCAAATGTTCATTTTAACTGGCTAGGACATACCATGGATAATTGAGAGTCTCATCGAATAGCCAAATCGTGGGATTTTTGTTTTTGTTTTTGATTTTTTATCTCTGTAAATGTTAAGGAGAAATTGTGTTTTAATCAATAGTTTCTTTTTACTCTCGAAACTTCTTAAAAGAAATTACTGGCAAACTGACAAAGGGATGAATTACTGTTTTTCAACATCACTGCCTCCCTCCCACCTTGCATACAGGATTCTCAAACAGGGAAGTGGCCAGAAAACAGAGAGTAGGAACAAGGTGGTGGAGGAGGAGTTTGCAAGAAACCTGTTTCCTTCACTGAGTGCTTACATCAGCCTCTTAATAGTTGAAAGGTGGCTGCGTAATGGTCATCAATTGCTAGGATGGATCAGAGAGTAAACATTGGCAAATATTTAGAGGGAGCAGCTACAGACAAGACAGCTGGAAGTGAGCAACTGGCTCATAAAGTAAATTGGACATAGGAAAAAAGAATAATCTCAGAAATTAACATAAGTCTACAGGCTAAGGAAGAAGTAGGTCTGAGTGGGCCTGGAAATGAACATAAACACTATCGGTATAAAGCCTAGAGTTGGGAAACATGGGGAAGTGAGAAATCTGTCATAGTCTTCCCAGGAAAAGCAGCTCATATCTGGGAAATCTACCCTTTCTCTGGCCAGGAGTCTTCCTCAATCTCTGTCAGGATCTAAAAGTGTTGAGGGGAAGAGAGGCTAACCGGTAGCACAGGATTCCCTGGGTTAGATTGTGGGTATGGGTTGGCTTCCTACCATGCTATTCCTCCTTCCTCGTGCCCTGTCTCTCTCTCTCTTCCCCTCTTCCTTATTCTTTGTACTTTTCTTACTCTTGTCCTTTCTTTTCTTCCATGTTGGTGCTGCCAGTCCTGTCCTGAGATGAGCTCAGCTTACCTGTGAAAACTGTTTAGCTCCACTTGTATGATAGAGCCAAAAGGGTGTTGTTGTCTATGCCTAGAATATGAAATGCTTTCTGAAACTATCCAATTATATTGTCTGACAAGGAACTTTATGATTCTCCATTTGGCTTCCTGAGTACCTAACCCCAGAGAGGAAACCTTTTAAAAAGGAAACCGGTCTGCAGTGACCAATTTTGCCCTCCTGTCAGTGTTGCCACTCACGTGTTGCTTTCTGTGTGTATTTCCTTGTGGATCCCCTGTGTGGAATCCCCTCTTGCACCATTTTTCTGCCACTCAAGGGTCACTGCAAGCTCTGGTTTCTTCAACAGCTCCTCCTCCTGACTTTGAGCTTATCTCGTTCTGCCCACTTAAATATTGTGGGCACAAGGTTACATGCAAGTAAATGACTTTTCTAACATTCTAATAATGATGCTGTCTAACATTATTCTCAAATTACTTCACACATGTACTTTTTGCCTTCTTGATAAGGTTATGTGCTTTTTGAAGGCACAGTTGTCCTGGTCTGCTCTTGTTTCCCCTATGGTATCTAGCACAGTGCTAGACACACAGCAGACACTCAGCAAAAATATGTTAAATTTCCTATTTTCACATTAAGAAATTGGCTCTCATGGCCAGACATGGTGGCTCACACTTCTAATCCCAGGACTTTGGGAGACCAAGGTGGGAGGATCACTTGAGCCCAGGAGTTCAACACCAGCCTGGGCAACATAGTGAGACCCTGTCTTTAAAAACAAAAACAAAAACAAAAACATATTAGATAGGCTTGGTGGCAAGCACCTGTAGTCCCAGCTACCAGGGAGATTAAGCCAGGAGGATTACTTGAGCAAGGGAGGTCTAGGCTGCAGTGAGCCGTGATCATGCCACTGCACTCCATCCAGCCTGGGCAACAGAGTGAGACTCTATCTCCACCAAAAAAAAGTAAAGACAAGAAGAGAAAAGAGAAATTGACTATTGTTTACAAATCTGACTCCCACAATTTGGATCAATATAAGCTAACTTCCTTGGACCTCTCCTTCCCACGTCCAGCTGAGAAGGCAGGTATCCCATGACTCCAAGAAGGGTTAGACGAGTAGCTCTGCAGGGAACTACGGTGAAGTCTCACAAACTTGGAACATTGCTGCCTTTTTCACAATGCTATTGCTTCAAAGTGGGGACCGATCCATAGACTACAGGTTTCTTTTTGTTCCTTTTACCCCCTTTGCTTTGTCCTCCCTCATCTTCTTGCTGTTTTTTTTTTTTTTTTTTTTCCCTTCCCAGGCTGTGCAGAGACCATGGACTATCATCAGGACAGCCAAAGCGAAGGAAGAGAAAGTTCTATAATGAGGGTCAGGAGATTCTGATAATAATCTAGATTTTATGACATGGTCTAAAATACAGGCCAAACAGGTGGCAGAAATTAGGACCGGGTGTAGGTGTATATGCATGATTTGGGTGAGCGAATGGTAGAAACTGGTAAGCTGCAGAGACCCTCTCGAATGGGGCAGCTACTACTCAGTTCCTGTAAATTGTCATAAACACGAGTGAGGAGCAGTGTTGTCAATTTTTGAAAAGAAGCCAGAAACATGGATGTGGGGGTAGAAGCTCTTAAAGTTACAAATGTTGGCTTAAAAATTTTAAAGACAGTGCAGGCCAAGCAAAATACATATGTGAGACCAATTTGGCTTGAGTGAACCTGTTTGTGACCTTCGTGCTAGCACATAAGTTGTGAGACTAAAAAGATATGGAAGAGGAAATTGAACATTTAGGCAGGGGCCAAACGATAAAAGGCCTCATATGTCATGCCAAGAAATTTGTATGTTATCTGTTGACCATGGGGAACCACTGAAGGGTTTTAATCAGGACAACGGCCTAGTTGATTAGTTTGGCCACAGTGTGGGAATTGGGCAGTGGTAATCATGCTCATAAATGTTTAACAACCAGCTCTCCACAGGGGAGGAAAAAAGATCCTGTTTTGTAGTGTTTGCCAGTTTTTCTCGTGTAAATATTCCCATTGTGGACAGTTTCAATCTACCAATACGACATCATAGAACACAGAGTTGGGAAGAGAACCAGTCAGCCTGCTCTTGCCAGCTGGTGCAAGCCTGCTCCAAGCACACCACCATGTGTTTCAGAATAAGGCTAATCAAAAGATATCATTAGTTCAGGTGAAGAGATGGCAAGGATCTTAAGCTAGATAGTGATTCTAGAGATGGACAAAAAATAACAAATTTAAGGCATTCATTGGATGTGTCAGGGAAGGGAGGGAGAAGAAAGCAAGGATGTTGGGTCTCTAGATTCCAGTGTGTGGTTGAACAGTAGTGTGAGCAATTGAGATAGTTCATGCAGGAGCAGGTTTAAGGTTTTTAAAAGTTCAGTTTTGTGCTTGTTGACTTGGAAGTCCCTACTGGAAAAGCAGCAGGAAATTGTATAACTAGTATAAATCCTGAAGGAGAAGTCAGGGCTGAAAATATAGATGTGAAAATCTTCAGCCTGTAATAGTAGTTGAAACCAAGAGTGGACAGGATCAGCCTCTGCCTGCCCTTGTTTCCTCACAAGGGGCTCCACCTGTCTACTCCAAGGACTCTGTCCAGCTCCAGTTTCCAGGGTGACTAAGGCTTGCTATAAGAAATACTCAGGAGGCCTGCCTCAGGTGCCATCGTTCCAAATTTCTACTGTTGAGGCTTTGGCATTGGGTCAGTCTCCTTCTCTGTTAGTTTCTGAATTGCAGCTTCTTCCCCACCTGTGCCCTAGCTTTTAAAACAAGGCTTCACACTTGTTTGAGTTTCTGGCTTAATATCCCAGGCCTCCTTAATGAAATGTAGCTGTGAAGAGACGAGGCTGCATCTTGAGCACCTTGATTAGATCAGGGGGCG